GTCGACTTATGTAGGATGGTCTTCGACCTAAAACAACTCCCCCAGTATTCTTGTTTTGCTTACCTCTCAACTCGAGGAGGGTTTAGAATCCCGAGGATGCCTAGTTCCCTGAAGGGGTGGAAGGATAAGTGGTTCTATGCTATACCTCAAGATCCCGACGTTCCCTTTAGTCCTCGGTGGGGGGTTCCTGATACTGCTAGGTTTTGTGGGGGTCAGGCATACTTTGAATCGTTGGAGAGGCATAGGCAAATGCTAGAGGAGCTCGAGCCCCTCGTTTATGACTTGGATGATATCCTCGGGGATGATATCCTCGAGCTTGCAAACATGAAAGGAATCGAGGGTAGGATATGTGAACTTGACGCTTAAAATCCCGATCTGTATTCTTGCTATGCTCGTGCTAATTACATGTAATTTTTTATTTTTGCAGAAATGACGTTTGATCCAAGTGCCCTTCGTCAGGCAGTGAACAAAAAGTCCAAGGCTCCCCAGGCTCGGGCTCCCGGCCAGAGGAGGGGCCAGAAGAGACCTCGGGATTCGAGGCAGGAAAGGCAGACCAGTGGGCCTGGGGAATCTTCAAGGCCCCGAGGACCGTCTCCGGGAATAGTGAGGACGGGATCTCAGCAGCAGGATCATCAGGGGACTCCTCGGGAGTCTGTTCCTCGGGGACCTGTTGACGTGGTCGACCTCGAGGATGGGAGCCTGCCACCGGGGTCTGCTAATCCCGAGGGATGCTCTCGGTGCCACTCAGTGCTCAGCATCGTCGACAAATACCGGGCAGATGTCGACTTAAGCAATGGCTTGAGGGCTCTTGAGGCTATGGCCTTGAAGGTAAGCTCGTCGGTTGTTTTATATTATTTTTGTTATCTTGACGTCCCGAGGTTAACCATGCACCATTTTGCAGACACTGGGAATAGCTCGGGGCCTTTCCTTGAAGGAAAAGGATGAGTCTTCAAGAATGGCCGACCTCGAGGGGGCCGTTTCTGCTCGGGATCTAAGGATTGCCGACCTCGAGGAGGAGCGCGCTCAGCTATTGAGGGAGCTTGAGCATATGCAAAATGATCTACGCAGTGCTCAGGGTGAGGCCGGTACTGCGAAGGCTGAGGCTGAGCACTCCAAGCTTGAGCTCGATCAGCTTAAAAACGATTTTGATGCGAAGCTGGCCAATGCTCGAGAGGAAGCGATCGAGGACTTCAAGAAGTCTGACGCCTTCAACGAGTTAAAGGGTGATTATGCTATGGGCTCTTACTTTCATGCCCTGAAGGAAGCTCGAGCTTTCATGCGCCTGAGGCCGGATGCTCGCCCTGAGGATCTGAAGTCAATCCCCGAGGTGGCTGATGACCTTCATCTTTCAGAGTCCGAAGAAAACGCTGGGGATGAAGACGTCGATATCGAGGGCGATGATGCCGAGGAAGGCCAAGGCAGTCAGGACACCGACGCCTAAATTTACCGAGCTTATCCTGTATTGTTATTTTTTTGTAATTGTAAAATGCCCGATCTTAATGGAGATTATTTTTTTTCTTTTGATCGAGCTTATTTTGTATTATCGTCGTGTTTCTATTTTCATATGCGCCGAACATTAATCAATACCTCGAGAAGGATTGATTATCTCGATCATAAAGACAATTAATTATCTCGACGATAAAGACAATTAATTAGCTCGACGACTAAAAAGATCAATTATCACGACGACAATATTGAATTAATATCCCGACGAATAAAAATCATGACGATTGAAAAAAAACAAATCAATCTGATTTTTAAACAAGTCTTAATGCCGGGGACAATAGCGAATAGTTCAACACCTTGATGGTAAATCTGTCCCGACGTTTATATTGAATTATCTCGAGGACCAATCACGATGGGCAGTTGCCTCGGGGTATTCGAAGAATTGTGACTGACTTCTGTACGTAGTTTATCCCGAGCTCTTATTTTTCAGCTTTGGACCAAAATACAAGGATATATGGTCAGGATGTATGTCCTCGGGATTTATACTTGTGCTGCGCTATTGTACTGATTATGAGCTCCAGGATTTTAGTGCTTGTGAGAGGCAAGGCTTACATGCTTGCTCGAGGGCAAGGCTTAGAGGGGCTTGTCAAGGACAAGACTTGAAGGGGCCTGCTCGAGGGCGAGGCTTAAATTGGCTTGTCAAAGACAAGGCTTAAAGGGGCTTGCCCGAGGGCAAGGCTCAAATTGGCTTGCTCGAGGGCAAGGCTTAAATTGGCTTGTCAAAGACAAGGCTTAAAGGGGCTTGCTCGAGGGCAAGGCTTAAATTGGCTTTGTCGAGGGCAAGGCTTAAAGGGGCTTGCCCGAGGGCAAGGCTCAGAGGGGCTCGTCAAGGACAAGGCTTAGAGGGGCTTGCTCGAGGGCAAGGCTTAAATTGGCTTCTCGTCAAGGACAAGGCTTAGAGGGGCTTGCTCGAGGGCAAGGCTTAAATTGGCTTGCTCGAGGGCAAGGCTTAAAGGGGCTTGCCCGAGGGCAAGGCTCAGAGGGGCTTGTCAAGGACAAGGCTTAGAGGGGCTTGCTATACCCGAGGTTTGGATTTATTAATTGTTTGGACTGGACTTGGATTTATATTGCATCCAATCTGCCTACGCACCCAAACGGGATCAAGCCGAACGTAGTTCATTACAAAAGAGAATAGAAAACAAGCATGGGCACGCAGGCCCGCTAAACTAGAAATAAAATGCAGAAAAAGAAAATCTCTTAAAAGGCGTCGGGAATTTTATTTGTAATATACTTTTAGATTGTCGGCATTCCAGGGCCTCGGAAGAGGTCTACCCGAAGTGTCTCTTAGGCTGTATGCTCCTTTGCGAATTTGTCGTATGACCTCAAAGGGCCCTTCCCAGATGGGCCCGAGCTTCCCTGGGGGGTGGCCTGCTGCTTCGGCCCTCCTCAAGACCAAATCGCCAGCTCTGAACCTCCGAGCCTTGACTTTGCTATTAAAATGTTTTGCTGTCCTAGTTTGGTAAGAGGCCACTTTTATAGCGGCTTGCTCCCGCACTTCTTCCAAGAGATCAAGATGTTCAGTTGTATGCTCCGAGGTTTCTGGCACGAGCCTCCTATGGCTTGGCAGTCTAATTTCCACTGGGACCATCGCTTCAACGCCATAGGCTAACATAAAAGGGGTTTCTCCTGTGGTTGTCCTATGGGTTGTTCTGTACGTCCAAAGTATAGAAGGCAGCTCGTCGGACCAAGAACCCCTAGCATCGCTTATTCTTGTTCGGAGGTCTTGCAATATGATTCGATTTGTTACCTCGGTCAGACCGTTGCTCTGAGGATGCGAAACTGATGTCAGACGGTGATCAATCCCAAGGCTTGAGCAAAAGTTTCTAAACTGTTGGTTGTCAAATTGCCTGCCATTGTCGGTGATGAGGACCTTTAGTATCCCAAACCTGCAAATGATAGACCGCCAAGTGAAGGCTCTTAGCTTGGGCTCCGATATTGTGGCGAGAGGTTCGGCCTCTACCCATTTTGTGAAGTACTTTACTGCTACAGCAACAAATTTTAATTGACCTCTTGCCACAGGAAAGGGGCCGAGGATGTCAACTCCCCATTGTTCAAACGGGGCCGAACAGTTAATGTTGGTGAGGTCTTCGGCTGGTGAGTGGATAACATTACCAAACCTTTGGCACTTATCACAATTTTTAACATATTCTGAGGCGTCTTTTTTCATAGTTGGCCAGTAGTATCCATATCGTATGAGTTTAAAGGCCAAGGCCCTGGCCCCTTGATGATTCCCGCACACACCTTCATGAACTTCAGCAAGGGCCTGGGATGATTCTGATGGCCTGAGACACCTTAGGTACGGAAGAGTAATACTTCTGCGGAAAAGGACACCACTGATCATGCAGTACCTAGGAGCTCGGGCTCTGATGCTTCTGGCCAACCTGCCATCGCTTGGTAGACTTCCGTTTGTGATGAATTCTATAATCGGGTCCATCCAGGATGGTTCGTTGTCAATGTC